TGCAGATATCGAGCAACCTCAAGGTATCCTCGAATAGCAGCCTGATGCATGCCAGACTTCGCACCACGGCCAAGGTTGTGTTCCAGAAGCCAGCGCACCACATGCAGGCGGTTCTCTCTTGCAGCAGCATCTAACGCTCGACTCGCGTTGCCGACTGGGTGGTAGCGCACCAACCACTCCACAATCTCCAAATATCCGTTGCGAGCGGCATATTCTAAAGCAAAACTGGCGTGATGAACATACCCATGATGATAGAGCCATTGCAACATGTCTAAATGTCCACCCCATGCTGCGTCATCCATCGTAGGCGGCGCCAATTGGTGCGCTGCATAACCACGATGTAGCACCCACTGCAATAACTCGAGGTCGCCACCACGAACCACAGCTACCATGAAGCGCCCCCAGGCTCGCTCAACGTCACCTTTGTGGTCGAACAACCATCTCGCAACGTCTGCATGACCTTCCTCCACTGCAACTGCCATGTCTGAACCGCCCCATTGGACTTGGTTACAGTCATTGGTCTCCGTTCCTTCTTGAGTCTCTTGAAGAGCGCTTTCATTGTCCAGGAAATATTCCAAAATACGTAGATCACCACCAGCAGCAGCAGCTTCAACGGCTTGCACTGCCACCACGCAACCTGAGAAGTGGGCGAAGAGCCATCGGATCATGTCTAAATCCCCCCGACGCACAGCTTCAACGACCGCCTGAGAGAATTGTGCGCAGTGGTAATGGCGGTCGGCCCGCAGGAACTGCAGCGGAGACCAGCAGAGGTAACGGTGATCACCCGGGTTGTCTCCGCTGGATGCTGCATTTTTTTCGCTGCCACTCCAGATGCGACGCAGAAGTCGCAATGAGCCAAAGGCACACGCTCGAGCAAGAGGGATCTTAACCGAGTAGTCTAAGCACTGAGACACAGAGGAAACAACATGCGGCAGCACGCCTAGAGATGGATTGTTACATAGTACCACAGCGGCAGACGCGAGGGGAGGTGCGTAGGCTGCAGCTCGTGTAACCATTGCTAGAGGAAAATCAAAATCGACCTTCCAGCACTGCGTAAAAGTAATAACCTCTCACAATGGATACAAAGTTTCATGTAGAAAACTAGTTTCCGGGGGGTGGGGGGTACCGGTATTTCAGATTTATGCGGTGAGCAAATCCACACCGTTTTGCCGGAGTATTAACATGGATTTTCTTTTACGATCAGGCGAAAAAATCGACACGTTTCGGAGGTCAACAATGATTTGCAACTCTCATTATGAGGAATATGTTTTAGTAGCGCTGTATGCATATAGACGACAGTATTCTAAGAATAGTGGTGATATTTAGGGCCATGAAGCACTTGTAGTTTTCGAGTTAGAGCCAGAATAAATGCCTTTTCGTACTTATTAGTGGTTGATTCGTACTTAAACGCGTGAAATGGCTTTTTCTGTTCCAGTTTTGGCTATAGGCCAATAGAAACTGGCAAAATGCAACAATCTGAGAGGAATTAAGCTAAACCAGTGAAAGTTCACTGCTTTCGACTTCTATTTATTTCTACTGCTTTGTCTTGTCTGGCGTAAGATTAAGTTCGGTGGGCACTCATTGTTAAGTTCTG